AGTTGATGGTCGAGTTGGGGTTGGATCTGTACCTCCTGGAGACCTGAGGGACTCCCAGAGTATCAGGAGCTGGGGGGCTGTCAGGGGCTGGAAGCACGGATCAGGTGACATGAGAAAACCGTGATCTGTCCTCCCTCACCTGCTGTCCTACTTTCTTAGAGATAAGACATTAGACAAGCCATTAGAGAGAGCATGGGGGTAGGCTCCAGCTTTGAAATCAGTTGTTGACTCTGGCCGCTTGTAAATGGGCGTGTTCCTATCTCTTGTGTGCTGACCACCTGCCGTGGGCCTCCCTGGGCCCTTCTCCACCCTTCCTCACTGGCCCACCCCACCCCCACTGGCACAGCACCAGTGAGCTTTCTCGCTCTCTGGCCCCTGATTGCTCTCTGATGGGTGGTCACTGCTTAATGTCGGAGGACAGGAGGACAGTAAGGTCTGGGATTTATTCCCCTAACTCCTTCCTTGCAGGACCCCCACCAGATGGCCGTGTCCCTTGATCAATGGCCACAGCTTCTATCGGGCAGCCCCCTCCCCACCGCCCTGAAAATTTCTCTCTTCCAGGGCCAGTAACTCTTCCTTCTGTTGTCCCTTCAGGGCCAGGGGAGGTGAGGGACCCTGCTGTTGCCAGTCTAGGGACACTGCAGTCTCCTTGGTTAGTTTCCTTAACCCTGCCCGCACCTCTGTAAACAGTTCCCAACTCTCTTCATAGTATGGAGACTGAGTGTGTCACCACCCCTGGGGTCCCCAACAGATGTTATGGCTCTAAGGACTCCCCCAGGTACTTAAGTGCCTGAGACAGCCCTTGGCACAAAGCAGAGAGGCTCCAAGGGATGGTTCCTCCTCTCCTCCTCTGGGAGAGCTGAAAAGGACCATTGAAAGGTATGGTGTGGGAGACGGGGCCACAGTGGGCAGAGACGGGGCCACAGTGGGCAGATCCGGGCTCTGCATCGTGGTGTAAGCATCACAGGAGAGAGAGGACCACTTCCAGGGCAGCGTGAGAGGAGCTCGGGTCCCCTCTTCTGCCCCACCCGTGTCCTGCAGTTGGGCAGACTATGTGGTCTCAGGGACGGAGGTCCATGGTGAGGTGGCAGGGGAGGACAGGGGAGAGTGTAGGTACATTCTTGCAAGACTGCTTCTATCTTATAGCAAAATTTGCAGCTCCTTGGTCCCACTGGCCTTCCCTAGGCCACCACCAGGCTGAGACACAGCTGCTCATCCCCATCCCGCCCTGCCCCCGCAGCAACCCAGCGGCCTCCGTCCATGCCCCAGCCTGGCAGCGGGAGACAGGGCTGTCAGACTGCATCACATCAGTGCTCGAGCTAGAACTCCAGCTGGGCCAAGTGACCTTGTAGGTTCTGAGGGGCACGGGCGGCGGGGCAGGAGATAAATATCCTGGCTGGATGTACAGCATCTTCCGGGCCGGAGGGAGGTGGGAGCCAGGCCTCCCTGGAACAGCAGCCCCTCCATCCTGCAGTCACTCTTTGGGATCTGTCCCTTCAGGGGCCTCACAGCAGGTCAGCGTCAGCCTAGGCTTGGGGGTGACTGTTCTGATTGTGGAGGCTACAAAGAATTCATTAACGAGGAAACATTTCTTGTTCGGGGTAAGGTACGTTCACTTCCTCTTGGAGCCCACGATCTCCAGTGCGTGGGCGGAGAATTGCCACAATTCGCTTCTGCCAAGCCCTTTGGTGTTTTCAGTGCACGATCCCTCTGGAGCTTTACGACACCCCCACGAGACAGGAACACGTCGCCATGTTTACCACCGTGGAGGAACCAGAAGCCCAGAGAAAGTTCAATGAACCGTCCAAGAGGCAGAGAGGAGACTCAAACCCACCTCGGCTGAGTCTGTAAACCAGATGGAGACTTTCCCCGCAGGTTCTTTTAAGTGAGGGTAACACTCATCTGCCTGTCTCTTTCTCCTCCCTCTAGGTCGTCGGCTGTGGATAGCACGGGAACCAAAGTGAAGTCAAGAGTGTGGTTTAATCTCATCTGGATCAACTTCCTGGAAGAGGTGAGAGGAAGAAGGTACAGTTGAGACTAATTCCGTCTGTAGATTGGGGGATTTTTTTTTTTTAAGTTTATTGATTTTTTTCTGAAAGAGAGAGAGAGAGCACGGCCAGGCGAGGGACAGAGAGAGATGGAGAGAGAGAGAGAATCCCAAGCAGGCTCTGGGCTGTCAGCACAGAGCCCGGCGCGGGTCTAGAACTCACAAACCGCAAGATCGTGACCTGAGTCAAAACCAAGAGCCAGACACCTAACCGACTGAGCCACCCGGGTGCCCTGAAGTGGGGATGTTGAAAAGGAACAGCCATTCTGAAGGTCGAAGGCCTGTGGTCACTGGCCATCCTGAGGGAGCCCTCCCCCAGCTTGCCTCTCCCTTGACACAGGCATTGTTTTCCTTCCCCCATCCCTTTGGTGTCTTGTCAGCAGAAGAGATTTCAGTCAGACTTTGGGGAGGATCTCCCTATCCTTCCACTGAGAACCCTCTTGGACACTTATATCTCCTTCCAAGGAGATCGCGCTGTGGACCAAGTTGCTGTTCCTTGCCATTGTGTTTGGATCCACCCGGTTCCACTCCTTTGTCTTTCGTTTTTGCTCCCCCCCCCCAGTTGTCTATAGGCTTCCCTGATGCAGAGCAATCACCCCATGGAGCATGGCCCTGAAGCTGAGGGCTGGAGCGAAAGCTGTGTTTGGGGGTGACAGTGACATAATCTCGAAAAAGCTCCATCTGTCATCTCTGGCCTTTTACTGTTGTAACAGCACTTATGGTCCCAGCCAACTGCTGAGGAATCTGTCTGTGGTTTAATTAGCCTATAACTCCAGCCTCCCCCACCATGCAAGAAAGCAATAAACAGCTTCCATCCTCTTTAGTGGGGCTGGGCAGACACAGCAGGGGGAGCCACATGAGGCTTGGGGCCAATGAGGTCTTTGAGGGCAAATGAAGGACTTCCGGACCTGCAGGGAATGACTCTCGACTTGTGCCTCCGCTCCCTGCTTGGGCCGTGGGAGACCAGTCAGTGCGCTCAAAGGAAACCTAAAAATGACAATGTAACAACCCCTCGTGCCCGTGGTGTTTTCCACTCCGCAAGAGCTTTCTCTGACGCTTTCTCATCAGGTGCCACTCTGGACCTCAGTTTCTTCTTCTATGAAGTGAGGGCATTGGGCTCAATGATTCCTGAAGTCTTCTCCCCATCTGGACTTTCTGCGGGCTCCCTTATCCCAAAGATACCCCAGGGATGTGACCGGAACTGGTGTCATTAGGCTCATTTTATAGCTGAGAATTCCGAGGAGCAGCGAAGGGAAGTGATTTGCCCTCGGTCACTCAGGGAACGCCGGCAGAGCCATGCCTGGCACCTGGTGTGGTGGAAAGAGGAAGGAGATACACCTTGACCCTTAGCTCAAGGACATAGGAGGTAGAGGTGTGGTTGGAGGCCCCAAAGCTGTGCCTGGACCATCTTGAGGAGGGGTCTGCCCTGCAAGGGAGCGAGGTGGGGAGCTCCCCTGGGTCGGTGCGGGATATAGCCAGGAATTTGTGCCTGAGAGCCTCCTTTAGAATGCCTGTTCCACAGGTGTGGTCTATCCAGTTCGCCACTATCCCTACAGCCTAGAACAGTGCCTGGCGTGTGGGAGATGCTCCAAAAATGCCGGTCAGTGAATGGATGGGTGGATGGGGCTGGTGATGCCAGCGATCCCCGTTCACAACGCCCTGCTCCCCTTGTGCAGGGCCCAGACAGCGAAGCCACGTGGGCGCTATCTGCAGAAGATTCTGGGCCATGCAGGATTCCGAGATCCGAGACCGTTCCCACATTTTTCTGGCTGCGTGTGAGCACCCCCTGACTCTCTTCCCTCACTTCCCCCAGTGCCTTCGGAGTGATGGATGCTCTTCCGGGGAGGAAGGGTTCGATCTGGGTTTCCAATCTCCTCTGGATGCATCGCTGCCAAAATACAATACACAATTACGGGGACACGATACATCAGTGATCACTGGGGGAAAGAAACCCCGTGTGGACAGCAAAGCTAATGGCTGGTATCGAAACTTATGACTACAGTCAGCTCAGAACCCCTCTGGTTCTACGGCAGGAAGCCGGTAGTCGCCCTCGGGTAACACCCCCGTGCTCCTTCTCAAACCCCAGCCACACCCCGGGCCCACCCTCCCTCCTGTCCTTCCTTCCAGGCCCCAGAGCCTCAGCGCCTTCCCTTCCGCTCTGGTGTGGCTACCACCACTCTGTCCCTCGGGGTTCACTGCCTTCCAGCCTGACTGTGGCAGGAACACAGTCCCCCCACTTGCCCCTCTTTGCTGCCTTCCAAAGCCCCTTTGCTTCCAGGAGATCATCTGCTGGGTCATTTGGACAGCAGAGTAGAGGCGACCAAGATCCCACAAGACAAGAGACCCGCGTGCAGGTCCCCGCGTGGATCCGAGGGCCACAGCGCCTGGACTCGACCCTGCTGGCCCCTGGCTTCCCTTTCACCCAGAGACCCAGACACCTGAAATCACAAGCAGGGAGGCCCAGAAAATTAAAACTCGAGCCCGCTCCAGAGCCCGTCTGTCTCAGGGGCTGGCCAGCTTCCGGATGGCCTCCCACCTAGGCCACATGTGTCTCAATAGGGTATATCCCCTTTCCTCCAGGGTTCTGAAACCTGGGGTTCATGGTCAGGATGTGTGGACCCCTGAAATTGCACCACAGCTCGGGTGTGTGTGTCTGTACTTTTTCTGGAAAGAGCCTTCATCAGTTTCTCACAGAACAAAAATGTGTATCTCTGTGAAGGTAAGCATGAGGGTCAAGTGAGCATAGGGGCTGAGCTAGCTTCGGTAGTAAGGAGTTTTTATTTATTCATTTATTTTTAATTTTTTAACATTTATTTATTTTAGAGAGAGATAAAGCGACAGAGCGCGAGCAGGGAAGGGGCAGAGAGAGGAGACACAGAACCCGAAGCAGGCTCCAGGCTCTGAGCTGTCAGCCCATAGCCCGACACGGGGCTCGAACTCACGAGCCGTGAGATCATGACCTGAGCCGAAGTCGGCACTTAACCAGCGGAGCCACCCAGGCGCCCCAGTAAGTAGGAGTGCTGAAGAAATTTACGTTACTGCTTTAAGCCTTGAACCACATTGTCTTGGCCTGTGGATGGGTCCTCTTTTCTAGTCTGATAAACAGGTTGGTCATTCGCACCCAGGTGCACGCACAGAATTAACCTGCCCCAGAGCATGGGTCACGATTCAGCCCTGGGACGATGAGGACATGAGCTAAATGCCACCAAAGTGGAGCCAAAGCCCCATCGCAGCCCGCCCAACCCGAGCACTCAGCACGCAGTCGGGGAGCAGGCCGGACACCCACCGGAGGGAGCGCAGTCCTAGGCCAGCGTCCCTTGGAACCCACCCTCTTTCCCCAAACCTGCGGGCTTTCGGGGAGGCCTAGCTGAGCCCCACAGCTAGCCAGCCGGCAAGGACACGAGGCAGACCTGCCTATTTGTTTATGAGAAGGTCTTCCGTCTCTGGATATTCCAGAAAGACGGCGCTGAGCTCTCTTGTCTCGCTGAGAAGACAGAACGGCCCGGAGACCAGGAAGCATCCTCAAGGTATGTTGATAAATACCACAGCTTTCCAGCCTGCTGAGACCGTATGATCTTTGTTGAATCACCTAATCTACTCGGCTAATTATGCCCATTTCCCCTTCTCTCTTTCTCTCTTACTCTCCCTTCCTCGTCACAATGTGGCACTTCAGAAACTCTCTCTCTGAGGAATTTCAAGGAGCCGGCTAGGTCTCTGTGGAGTACGCGGCATTATCTCATTACCATCTCGCCTGGTGATCGGATTCCGTTAGCTGACTCTCTTTATTAGCAGGCAAAGGCAAACTTATGAAATACCTTTAAACTTGGATTTCCTTAACAATATATCATTGGGGAACTGACAGCCCTCGTTCGCTTCCCTCTGCCAGAGAGAATTAAGATTGTTCCCAATTTAATCTCTTCTCCGCATCGGAGGCGGGCATTTGTGTTTCAGCCGAAAACTCGCGGTAGCGGCTCTGGGGGAGGAGGCTTTGGATGGTCACAGAGGAGCTTTGATAGGTGTCCCGTGTGCCGTGATGCAGACGGGACGGGGCTGGCCTTGGCTTCGGGGAGCCTGGGCAAGAAGTCTCCCGTTCTGCCCTTGGTAGGAGCGGTGGACACGCGTCCCTGCTGGGAAGAGATAAGAGAACAGATCTGTGAGTTATCAGCTCTGTAGTGTCAGGGACAGGTGTTGGGGTGATGCCTAGGCTGTCACAGATACTGCTCACTGTAATGCCAGCTAATTCCGCCGCCTTCTGGCTTTCTCGAAGTCAGAGTCACCAGGCTGGCTCTTGGTAGGGTTCTGGCTGAGTCGTGCCCTGGCTGTGTACCCACAGGTACGGTGCAAGTGATGCTGCTGTCCCGCTCAGATCCCCGTGGCTGGCCCGGTGCACTCACCCCCCCAGCGGAGCATTGGCTGCTAAAACTCGCAGCTGTCCCCCTTCTCTAGAGAATGAGTCTTAGACGGAATGGGAGCCACCTGACCCCAGAGGGTAGGTAGTAACACCCTGCCCTAGTCACCTCGCCTTAAGCCATGAAACAATGACTGACCCAGGGCCACAAAAGACCAGCCCCCTTGCCTTCAGGTGAGTCTGACCTTGAAGTATAATCCATGCTCCTGGGGTCCCCGGCTGAAGTTGATCCCAGCCCAGGCCTCGTTCCCTCACCTGCCTCTCCCGAGCGCGCTTCCCCAGTAACTCACTTTCCCTGGGCTCAGCCTCTAGTAAACGGTTGCATTTGGGCTGCTTGGGTTTTCTGGGCTCTGCTGGGCCTCTTCTGGAGTCAGACTGCGTGTGGCAGGGAGTTGCCATGGACGGTCAAGGCTGGCGGGACCACGCAGTGAAGCCGTGAGCAGTCACGGAGGGCCCCCCCCCCCCACCCGGGGCACGTCCTGAGTACCCTCCCCCGGTAACAAGCAGGCATGGCTGGGAGTGCCTGGACCCATAGCCTGCCTGGCAGGGGCTGCCCGGGACGCTGTCCTCCCCCTCGCTGTGTTAGTGGAGCACATAAGCCGCCCTCCGAGGCAGCTCTGAACCATGGCCTCTTAGATCTGCACGGCCCCCGCCAGAGCCGTGGAGCCTGACCAGGGCGCGCCCGGCCAAGCACATCACATCCCTACAGGCGCTCTGCATGGAGATGTGGAAGGCTGCAGAGGAGAGGGGAGAAGAACTGTGTTGGAAAATACTATTATCTAGCCAGGCCCCCATTGATAGCCCATGCATGAAACCAATTTACAAAGTGTGAGTCAAAGCTTCGTGGACCGCCTGTTCTCACGGGAGCCCAGCAATCACCCTGCCCACGGCCTCCGCACACAGAATGCCGGGCCGCCCTCTGTCCACGCTGGCTCGCTCTAGAGTTGTCAGTCAGCGCCCTGGGCTGACCACCCTCCCTCGCCGCCCCCCCCCCCCACCCTCGGCTCCTGCTAATGTCGGGAGAATTTATTACTGTGGCAGAAGAGAAACACTTTGAGGAAAGCATGATGATTTTCCAATCTCCACTTTGCTGGCGGCTTGAGCGAGCCCAAGTGCGAAGCTTCAGGCTGTGAGGGTTTTCCGAAGGTCATACTGTCTGTCCATCTTCTGTCACCGGATGCAGTTGCAATGGCACGGAGGCCCGGGTGGCGCCTGTAATCAGGGGCAAGGCTCATAACCTCTCTGAGCCTCGGCTTCCTTCTCTGGAAAAGGGAATGCCCTTCTGAGCCGAGGTCAGGACCGCACGAGACGCTGCACACAAAAGTGCCCGGCACATAGTAGGTACTCAGACAAACGTTTATTATCTTTTGCCTCCGCCAAAACAGGTCATACAAGGGGCCAGGGAAGGAAAGGCTACTGCTTTTCCTCGTAGAATATTCTGGTATGTCTGATACGTAACAGTCAAGAAGCTCTTTTATTTAGTAGGGGCGCCTGGGCGACTCAGTCGGTTGAGCGTCTGATTATTGATCTCAGCTCGGGTCACGAGCTCACGGTTGGTGGGCTCGAGCCCCGCATGGGCTCTGTGCTGACTGTGTGGAGCCTGCTTGGGATTCTGCCTCTCCTGCTCTCTGCCCCTCCCCGCTTATGTGCGCATGCGCGCTCTCTCTCTCCCTCTCTCAAATAGATAAACGTAAAACAAAAAGAGGCTCCTTGATTTCGCCATGGCGTCCCCTGCTGAAAATTATTCCGGTCTCCAAAGAGATCACCGCTTCTCTGCTAACACCAGCACCGTACTGACTGTGTGCCAGGCACTGTCCTAAGTATTCTATGCACATTAAACTACTTAAGTCTCGCCACAACACGTAGGTGTAGAAAAATGTTAACAGACAGACACTGTAACATGCTTATCCTAAATTCATTTAACGGATTCATGCACTGTTCCCTTTCTCTGGGAGCAGGGTGGGAGGGTCTCTGCTCTGCCTCACCTTGAGAAGCTTCCCCTGGAGAAGTGGACACACCATCTTCCCTCTAACGGGGTCTAATGGGGTCAAAGATGACCCCGTCTTTGACATTAGCCCCTTGCTAAAATGTCCTGGTAGAGTGGGGGGAGGGCCTCCGACACGGGCCAGGCCGATACATCTTGACTCCCTGCTCCAAGAGGGGGGGCTCTGTCCTCTAGGCCATTTTTACCCAACAGTCAAGAAGGCTCCTCTTCCCCAATCTCCCACTCCAGGGGTCCTGCTCCTCAGTGAAGAGTATCCATCCCCCAGGGAGAGGGGCTCTGGTGCCTTCCCAGGGCAATAAGAATGTGCCTGTGGTCTTAACGCAGAGGATTCTGGAGCTTACCCGCAGAAGAAGCCACTGATGAAACGTGCATCTCTAGATCCACATCAAAGCCAGGACCTCCAAGTCCTCATCTGTAAAATGGGCATGAGAAAATACCAGTACTGTTAGGGGATTAGGAAGATTTAACGCGTAAAATGCAGTATCTGGGACACAGGATAAATAAAGCTTGGCCGTTACAGCGGCCAGACTCAAGATTACAAACCGCCTTTTTCTTTGCCGTTTGGGTCACCCAATTCATCCATTGGAAAGTTCACTTTTTTGGTTCATATCCGTGTGAGACCTTTCTCTCCCGCCTTGGTCTACAACTCTGTGCCAAGCGAGCAGAGGAGGGCGGGAGGGAGGAGGGATCTGGAGAGGGGAGGCAGGCGTGGGTAAGGACAGGGGAGATGGCCTCGGAGCTAAGATATTTAGCGGCCTCCAGGTGACTCTGCGGAGAGCAGAGTGTGTTCGAAGCCTTTGCCAGCTGGCAACAGGCCAGGTCCCTTTGGCTAACTAGGCCATCTCTGATGGGGCTCCCAGGGCCCACCCTGCACAGCCCAAGTGAATGGCATCCTCCAGATGCAGGTACGTGACCCTTGTCCTAGGTGGCAGTTTGCAGGTTGTCCGTGCGGGACCCCTCCTGGCCCCTCCAGCCCCCCTCAGCTGCCTGGGAGGCAGAAGGAGTGGAGAGCCCCTGGGGACCAAAGAAGGAACGCGGCTGTCTGCAGGTTCCCAGCTCCACAATCTGCAGGACCAGATCTACCTGGGAAAACGGCCCTCTTCATAGAACACAGAGGCCCACGTCATCAAGGGATAACAGATTCTCCCCAGAGCGATCCTTCTGTGACCACAGGAGATCCCATCAGCCACTCAGCCTGGTGCTCTGCCCCCGGAGCTGGGCACCAGCCTCTTTTCCTTCTGTCACAGGGTACTCTGTGAGTGGGAGCCCACCCCCACCCCCACCCCCACCCCCGGTCAGAAAACTGGCGTGGACCCGGCCGACCTCGTGAAAAGTTGCTGACCTGGACAGACACTGTGGGCCTCTTTGTAAGTGAGCCAGTCAGGCCTGCGGGGACTTCGGGGGACCACCGAGGGTCGTCAGAACCCTGTGAAATGTCGATCTGCTTTGAAAGGAGTTTTTCAGGCACCCAGACAAGCAGGCACCCACGCATGGGGAGAGCAGAGAGCCAAAGATACAGGCCTCCATGGGAAGGTTAGCATGAGTCCTGCCTGCCTCCGGGCCTCCGCTTTGAGGAATGAGAAACGGCAGAGAGGTCACAGAGCCCATCTTCCCTTGCATAGCGTTGTGGCTCTTTCTGAGCTGAATTGAGAGCCAGAAAGCAGCTCAGAGGGAACCTCAGAGTCTCTCTGCCCGAGCAGGCCTCTCACGCGACGGCAGTGCCTATGGCACCGGCTGCAATCACGTGGGGGGGGGGGGGGGGGGGCAGCTTTAAAAACTACTGATGCCTGGGCCACCTGGGTGGCTTAGTCGGTTAAGCGTCTGACTTCGGCTCAGGTCATGATCTCGCGGTTTGTGAGTTCGAGCCCCGCATCAGGCTCTGTGCTAACAGCTTGGAGCCTGGAGCCTGCTTCAGATTCTGTGTCTCTCCATCTCTCAGCCCCTCCCCTGCTCATGTTCTGTGTCTCCCTGTCTCTCAATAATAAATAAACGTTAAAAAAAAAAAATTCTAAAAAAAAAAACTACTGATGCCTTGTCCCCACCCTAGAAATTCTCATTTTAATGGGAACGGGGCGTGGCCTGGGCACTGAGATTTTTTTAATGCCCCCTGGGCCATATTTAATGTACAGTCAAGTCTGAGAAGCACTGGGATCCACACACACATGAAGACAGCAAGGTTTTTGGATGCCGGCTTTGTCACAGAGTATCATCTGTATGGTCTCAAGAGTTGTCCCCAACTTCCCCAAATAATGTTAGTATATATCTTACTTAACAAGGAAGTATTTTTTTATAAGATTATTTTGTGGGATAGTGAGAAATTAAGCAAAGAATGAATGCCTCTCTTTAATAACAGAGAATTAATTGTATAATAATGAAGTAGATAATTACACTCAACAGACATCTGTAGATTGTTGACATCTCAAGAGGGTGGGGTTAAACGTCGGGAGACAGGTGGTCTGAAGGAAATTACAAGTGCACATCCTTGAGGCCTTGAAAAAACAAGAGAGTTAAAAAACAAAAAAACTTTTTTCCTTAGAAAAAATTATGGATTCACGGGAAGTTACAAAAATGGGAGGTCCC